TCATTAGCACCTCTAGTAATATATTTACTGAGAAAAATGGTGACGTGTTCAATACTTATTTTACCCACTGTATAAACAGTAGAAATATATAAATACACACCCTTTTCAACTCTAATTAAATAATAAGTGACAAAAAATGTTTAAGAGCGTGAGCACAGACAAATGAAATAAAGGTTCTTCAAATATATTATTTACATTAAATAGAACAAAATACAAAAATACAAATAAATTTAATTATTACAAATTAAACTCAAAAATGTTGGTTTTATTTACCTGCAAACTCGTGGTGTGAAGTAAAGGTTCTGCCACGAGCGACAGAGAAACTTGGAGTGATCGACGACTCGGACCCAGTCCAGCTCATCCATCGATACTTCGATGTAGTACGAGTAAGACCTTAATATTCAAAAATATACTTTCAGACGTAACAAATAAACWACAAAGTACAACAAGCTTTGATAATTTTAACTAAACAACTACAGACAGTTTTCTAAAAACACAGCAGGATAAGCTGAACTCACCGACTGTCCCGGTCCCACAGCAGCAGGCGGATGTGGTTGATGATTGACGGTTGGCCCAGTTTGACCTGGATCCCAGCCCGACCGTCCTCCTCGATGGGATGTCTGGAGAAGCCGTGGTCCAGGTCGTAGTTCTGGGTRTCTCCGTCCAGCAGCGCCGACTTCAGCTCACCTTTAACGACCTGAGCTCCGTACTTCATGGTGGCGATGTTCTCCTCCGGAACTGAAATGCAATAAAAAGTCKTTTAAWGCATAAATWTAGGGCTGCAACAACGAATCGATAATATCGATAAAAATCGATTATTAAAAGTKTTGGCAACGAATTTCATTATCGATTCGTGYCGCGGAGCTGTTTACGTCACCCGCAGAGCGTTGTCAATGCTGGCTGAGCTAAATAAAGTTTGGGAAGAAAARAAGTCTACCTGTAAAGACCCGCCYTCTCTGAGACCCTCGAGTGAAAAGCAGAGACTTCGAACTTTAAACCAGTTTTTAAATTGTGYTGTTAGGCCAAGTAGATCAGAAGAAATGATAAAAAGTATATGACACAATTCAATGGGCCTCATGCAAGAACCGTTCGTACGCACAGATTTGTTCTTAAGTTGTGCGTACGAGTGATTTAGGAG